GTGCATGTGGGCAAGTGGCACGTTGCATCTGAGAATTTATTACTAGTAGTAGTGTGTGATGAATGTGGGGGTTTCTTTACGAGTTCTGTTAACCTCATGATTTGTACCAGTACTGCTAGCAACTTGGAGAGTAAATTAGTGATGAGAATAAACGTCGAAGCTGAAAGATAGCACCACCGCGACGTGCGCCCGTGGGCGGTTTGCACTTTGGAACCGCCGCCTTTCCCGTGTGACAAGATTGTCAAATGACGACGTTTCTGCAATGGAGACAGTGGCAATTATCAGGCCCGATCAGTGATCGTGATGGCAAAGTACTGTGTGAAGTGAAGCTGCTGTGGTTCACTGGTTCTTTCTAAAATTGATGACCAGCTACAGCCTGCAGGGCAGGGAAGACATCTGCCGTGAAGACATTTCCGACGGGTGTCAATCGGGCCTCCAACAGAACATTCACGAAAACAAATGTTACCCGATCCAGTCCATGGTTGTTTGATTTGGGCTCTCGGTCCTCAAGACCGACTTCCATCAAGGTGAAATCATGATGGGCCAGGCCTGACGGTGTTTTTTTTATTTATTATCTAGTATACACCTAAAAAATAACTAACCGACACCGTATCGCCTCCTACGTTGCACGCCGCTGGGGCCTACGCGCTACGGCTGGCAAGGATACCGGTGAACAGAGGTTTTCCAAACGAGGGACACTGCTATAAAGGAAGATGGAAAGTGCAGACAGAGAGGAAGGAGGTGGTGGAGCTATTAAAAAAAATACTGACACGTGAACCCATGTACACCGCCACATTGAAATTGAAGGCACGCACGTCGGCTAGGATGCGGGTGATGTTGACACGGCCGCTGGCGCTCAGAACTCGGAGCCGCGAGGACGGTGGCGTTTGAACTTGAAAATGATGTCGGCGAGTGGACAATGGCGAGGGAGACGACCGGTGATCTCGATTCTGGAACAGCGTGGTAACGAGATTCACGGAGGCGGGCAAGCGGCGAAAGGTCGGTGGGACTGAGGTACTCGAGGAGGACATGCTTGCGGAGAACATCTGCGAGGTCGGCGCCTACTGCGGCTGCGAATGCTGACGATGACTACGGAAGGTTGCCGTTAGACAAGCAGTGTCAGGGACGACTGCCGCGCCACTTGCCCTGTTCGCTGATAAGTCATGACTGAAAATATTATTATCTGATTTGCTGTGAGAGAAAAATAGTGTCTGAACAGGGCGCTGGTAATCCCGTCGCTGTATATTTCTTTTTCCCATAGAAGCAGCAAGTGAAATTCCTGGCCCACTCATAGATCATAGTGGTTGGCCCATACCAATTGCCAACTATGCGAGGTCTGAGAAGCCTAATAAGGCCCAACACAATATTTTCGGATAACATTACGTTTACATGTCGATCTAATTGGGGTATATCCTGCCCGCATGAGATTTTCTGATCTGAGAGCTCCAAATAAAAAAGAACAATAATAATCTCCCCTCTGGACATCCTGACAGTTGCCGGCCCTACATTGTACTCATGCTTTTATATGTCAAATTTGAATATATAAAATATACTAATGTTTATCATAGTAAATATATACTATTAAATTTGTAAACAAATATAGTTTCAAACTATATTTATTAAATGTCACGAGCATTAATATTTTTACCTAGACCAGATATATAACCATGAGTTGCACAGAGCCACATGTGTCGCCGTGGCCCGTAAATACATGCCCTGATGATGTTGATCGCCCAACAGAGAGAAGCATTTTCTCAAAAAAAAGAAAAAAGAGAGAGAGAGCATAATCCTTTTGCATCTTGCGCTGATTGTTTTTCTACCCTCAGGGGCTGATTTCGGTAGCCAGCCACCCAGCCCCAACCGTTTGCACGTGCTTTGCTTCGTCCAAAAATTTGCAATTGAGATCGTTATTCAGCTTAATTACCCCTGCTGATCGCCTTCGCGGATCGCGGTGCACCTGGGCAGTGGGCACCATCCCCATCACGAGCACGGGCATCAACCAACCATTGACCAACACAGTGATGCTTAAACATACCACTGGTTCACTACATGACGGCAATCAGCAGACTAAGTTCTATAAAACTGAAATACTGAATCGTGAAGCTACGCTCATCCAAAAACAATCAAAGTTTTCCTTGCAATCGATTTTTGTTCCCCCGCCCCCGCACCGCACCGCACCGCGACTGATCATTTCGTGTGCAGTGGATCTTCTGGGTAGGGCCTCTCACCGGGGCGGCCATCGCCACGCTCTACCACGAGCACTTCCAAGAGGGCGAGTGCTCTCAAGTCTCAAGGCACTGTGCTCTTTTCAAGGCTGGACAGTGAAAGGTCGGAGTTCTTGGATCTTGCGATTATCAGTCGTGCCTGGAGCGAAGAGCATGCATTCGGAGACAGTGTGCTCGGACGGATAAAGCATAATGATCACCTCCTGTCCACCTTAAAAGTTGCACTATACGCAGCCTTTTCCCCATCTTGGATCATGTTCTATATGTACCATTACTTCAGACTCTTGGAAGTCATGTACTGCTGCTGGCAAGCTGAAATGGCAATCCAAATGGAATGACTAAGATGATTTCCACGACATATATTAAGGGTACCAAATAAATAAAATTATAATGGTTTCTTATACAAGAAATTATGTATACACATGAATTAAGATAGGAAGATGTGTGATAGTTATACGATAGGAAAGAGAACAAAATGGATTTGCTGAAAATGTATTTTGTAGAAACCATTCAGGACAGCTCTAACAATGATATTTAACTAGCTCATAGAGATCCACCTTTGCATTTTGCTCATGTTGAAGAGAGAGTAGAAGGAAAGAGAAGAACTATCCCTTACTACATACGGAGTATTTCCTAGCTAGGCTCGAACAAAGTACGAGGCTGTTATTGGGGCCCATGGTGAGGTGTGGGTGAGAGAAAAGAAATGACGTGGGACTCATAGTGAGATGTTTAGAGTTAGATTATTGGAGAGCTTGACTTATGTACTATCTTTTAAATGATGTGGCAAAATAGGGGCTAGTTTTCTAGCTCAACCCTTTGGAGGTGTTCTGAAGGCTTATTTTGTTGCACTCCAATTCACCCTAATTCATACGCTGCACTCCTATCCATCTCAATCCCTTACGGCAAAACATTCTGATTTCATACCTTACAGCCATCTCGCAACGAGAGAGGGAAAGGACAATACAAACCATAGCAATAGCAGCACTGCACCAGAGAGCCATTTCCTTACCACCTTTTCCGTATCCATACTCCCTCCAACAAGAGAAGGTAATCATACAATCTAAGCCATGCCTCACGGGGTATGATTATTGAAACACAAAAAAACAAAGACAAGATTCCAAGCAACATTCTGCATCCTGTGAACAATGTCAATTGTCTAACATATTAGCCATTGACAGTTGCATCTTACATAAAGGTACATCCAGAATGTGGCATCCTTGTCCTTCTTGTCCATCCCATTTAACAAAGAACCCTAGTAGCCAGAAAGATCCCTAGTAATATACTACTAGTATCTTCGTGCTTCTGAAGAGTGGCTGGCTGCTAGTATGACAGCACATTCAGACAGACAGGTTCTACCTCTGCGTTGCAAATTTGCAATGCCCGGGATGCGCCCCTTCTGCGTGACGTGGAAAAGATGGAGGAGTAAAGGCGACGTAACGTGGGGCATGGCTGCATGCCACGCCTGTTCAATTGCTCGAGGCAGCGGCAGTTGCGGCCGCTCTTCGAATCGATGGATTTGGCACGGCAGACGGCGGTGCTCCTGCGCTGCTGCGCAGGCAGCAATCATGCGTGGTGTGTTGGTGCGGCAGGCATGGCTGGATGGGCCAAGGGAGGGGAGGTAAAAATCATGCCCTCTGCTGCATCCCTGCAGGTGCTGCCTGGGCTTTTCTGGGCCTTGGATGGTTTATCTAGTGCAAATTGGGGCCTGGACCGTAAAAGCAGCTGGAGTGGATCATTCAGGGCTGGCGTTTACATACAATTAACAGATCCTCAAAGCTACTTGCTGACACTAATCTGCATTGGTGCCTGCTAGTTTTGTTCGTTGAGTAATTAACTACTGTGTGGTTATTTGGTTGTTGTCAGATTAGCCCTTTTACCAATTAAGAGTTACTTCTAATCATAACTAATCACAAATTCAAACAAATACTGCATAACTTCACGTCTTCACCAATATCTAGGCCTTGTTTAGATTGGGGTTAGGAATCAGTATTTGGCACTGTAGCACTTTCGTTTGTATTTGACAATTATTGTCCAATCATGGCCTAACTAGGCTCAAAAGATTCGTCTCGTAATTTACAATCAAACTGTGTAATTAGTTATTTTTTTATCTACATTTAATACTCCATGCATGTGTCCAAAGATTTGATGTGACGGAGAGAGAGTGAAAAAACTTGCAATCTAAACACGGCCCTGCACATTCAACTCAATCACAATTACGGCAGGCTAAAGATTACAAAGGACTCTTCTTTGCTCATTCCCTCTGTGGCAAAGAATGTTTCCATCATTAATTGCCTGAAAGCGAACATAAAGGCAACCAAAAGTTGCTTAAAAGGCATGCTTTAATGACAATAACAAACTAACAGTGTTTCTGAAGCACATGTCGGAGTGACTATGATTGATCCCTTAACTAGTCTGAATAAACAAGAATTTTTTTTATGAAGTATAGAATAAACAAGACTGATTAAGGATGTGTCTCACTCTCGCTGTCTCACCTCTCCATGCATATGGATATCTTCTGCACTGCACCTGGAGCTAAAGCTCCTGTAAAACATCATGCCATCTCTTCACACCTTGCCATTATTCTGCTCCCCTTTCGCTTGCCACTACAAGAATTGAAGTAGAAGCAAAGCCTCACGGACCGTACCTCTGTTTGCTTACGGCTACGCCCTCTATATAAGCACAAAGAATTCAAGCTCGATCACACTCGGCCTGCGAACTTATGTGACCAACAAGATCAGGCTCCAGCTCAGCTCAACCGAAGGTGCGATTCGAGCCATGGTTAAGATCACCGCAATGGCGGCGGCGGTGGCGGTGATCGCTCTTGTGCTTCTACCCGTCGGCGGGCGCGGCGAGGAGAGGCCCACCGCAGCGCACCCGCACGGGCTCCCCTTCGAGAGCCCGCTCGCTCTGTCGCCGGCTGCTTACGACTTCTTCCACCCCAGCGCGCGCACCCGTCGAGCTCACCACGGCGTCGCGCCGGCGCCGGCGCTCGCGCCTCGCGGACAGCAGCAGCAGCTGAGGGAGTCCGCGGTCAGAGGAACGTCGGCGGCGGGCGTAGCGAAGGCCGACCAGGAAGAAGGGGCGGCCGTGGAGACGCACCGGCGCCACAACCACACGGTGACAGGCGTGTTCGTCGCCGCCGCGGCGGCCGCGCTTGTGGCTATCGGCGTGGCGTACGCCGTGGTGCGGCGCCGGGTCGTGGCGGCGCGCGGTGGCGCCCAAGTCGATCGCGTAGTTTGCTCCAGGGGCCGCGGACTGGTTTGCTACGTGTGTGGGTGTGTGTGGTAGCTTTAGGTGGGCCCAGAGAGTTGGGCCGGGCTGTGGGGCGGGATCAGGGAAAGGGACGCTCGCTGTCCATGTCCAGCAGTCAGGACTTTGAAGTTTGATGAAGCCTTGCCCGTGCGAATTGCGAAATGGCATTTGTTGAGAGCGCTGTGCCACGATTCCACGAAGTGCGAACATTTCGAAATAAAACAACCTGTTCATATTGCAATTTATCATCACATTTTCAATACATCGTACAATCAACCAGTATAAATTAATGTACAAATGTATTTTTATATTTTAGATTTCGTGCCCGTATCGAGTCACTTCTCTCGTCTCGTGGTCGTGGCTCAGTTCCGAACCATGAGCAGCAGCGGCACCGTTGACCTTCCTCGAGCTTAGAGTCCATGTTGCACAGACCAACACACACCCCCACAGTCCAGGCTAGAATCGCTTCTGGTCTCTCACTCTCTCCTAATGCACAGACCAACGAACCTCACTTTGGCCTCTCTTCGTTTTCATTTTCAATATCACATATTCACAGTCGCCGTCGTTCGCCTCCATGAGATGCAGGTCGCTTGCGTGCCCAAACCTACTCCGTGCGCTTGCCGATGCCGGGAGACGAGGACGGTGCCTCTGCGGACGGCAGACAGACAGCTGCTTCGCCCGGTGCCACTCAGGCAAATTGGCTAGTGGAGGTGATATATGGTGTTTGGTGACAATATCTGACTGCAGCTCATGGGTGATGCAACTGAACCACGAGTAAAACTGAACTTTCGATTTGAGATTATATATACAGGTATAATCAATGACAAACTGAAACCTGAGTCACAGATGGAAGACCAGAACTGACACTGAGGGTGATCGGGGATGGACAGGTAACTGACCATTAGAGTGGTCATAGTTTCCATTGGAGTGTTGCAAAGTCAGCAAAGCAACGTACATTCTTTATTAGCAATACATATATGTGAAATAGTTAGACGAATCCTGGCTTTCCCAGGGCTACACAACATTGGCTTTGAAGTACCGTCCACCTGTTCAGGAAAGCGCGCGGTAGAATCAGCTCAGTTCGAGATAAATCGGTCATTGGGATTATCTTTTCTTTTAAAACAAAACATGTTGAATCCAGGTACAGAAATATGAGCACATCAATGACGTTTCAGCACATCAGTGGCTTGACAAAAGAGTCTTCCCCCACCCCTGTGCTTCCTCAGTTGTCATGTTCAATATGGTGCTTGAATCACCATCCACGAGAGCTAAGGTACACAACAAGCCGCCCAAGAGTCTCGTCCACCGCCTTGTTCCATACATGAGCCAGCTCAGTTGAGCTTCGACTGGCGATTTCACCAGGCTGTGCAACAGGAAAGATTATGACACTGAGGTTAGATTCATCACGAGAAAGAAAGATGACACATGTAATTTGGAAAGATCAGTAAAACTTTGGAACATTACAGTTTTGATTTGTTGTCACAGCTGCTGGGGTTATGAAAGGGAACGATACTACTTACTGTTCTTATGTAGTTATATGTCCCCATAAAAAACATAACACATACATGCTAATAGGCTTACCACTGATACTGTTTCTACCTATGACTTCCACTTGAAAGACAGTTTAAATACACATGTTCTACGACCACATGACATTATTTTTCCTACAGAACATGCTCACTGCCACAGGTGTGATATTTACAGCTCATTTGCTCACCTACTTTGCTACGAATTTTGCAGTATATCAAGTTTATCTTGATATCCAAGAAAACTGATGGGATGACAGTTCTAGACGATGTCATGTGGCTAGGCTAGCAATCAGGGGCATTAGTGGCCAGGTGTCATGTGGCTAGGCTAGCAATCAGGGGCTACAAATTAGGAGAATTATTATCTCCAGGTGGTTAGTGGCCCATTTATATCGTGTAATCAGCCTTGGATGAATTAAGCAATAACAAACCAATTTCCTAATCTCCCTCCTCTCTCAATCTCAACCCCTTCACCGGCCATCCTCCTGGCAATGGTTATCCCCCAACCCCCAATGATCTAAGGATCATAGCAGACGAAGAAAAAAAAACTGCAACATTTCTTCGAAAATGGTATCACATAAGCACGTCGAATTTGATTTGGCATGGTTCCTCCTTAGACAAACATGAGATAACCCTTTAATACATGGGATGTGTCTAAATCTCTGATAAGAGAAAATCCCTAAAAAAGAGTCGCTATAGGAATCGTGCTGGTCAAACTTTCTCAACTTTTACTAGGTTTGTAGAAAATGCGTGCAACATTTATATCTTCAAATAAGTTTATTATGAAAGTATATTCAACGATCTACCTAATGATACTAATTATGTACCATAAATATTATTATTTTATTAAATATATTTGGTCAAAGTTAAAAATTGTTGACTTTTTGGGAAGCGAGAATAACTCTTTTTTAGGGAGTAAGTCATAGCAGTGTTCAAGCGGTAGTTCTAGATTTCCATAACTCTATTGAGGTTTTGTTCTTTGTATCTTGTGATGTCACTGGTTTGGGAACATACAGACATTAATTTCACAAGCTCCAAGATTTCTGAAGCAGAATTTGATATTTTCTAACTTAGAGGTTTCTAGTAAATTTAAATCTTTTAGTGCCATTATTACCAGATACCACACTAAATTCTAGTCCCTTTTAGTAAAGCAGAGATAGAAACATCAATCCAAGTAGCACTTAATTCATGAAAAAATACAACCAAAGGACGGAACAAAGCTGTGCACATTTCAGTATTCCTTTCTTCCCAAGTCCCTGAGCTTAGCTTATGTTAACATTCCCTCAGTTGCTTTTTATAAGGCCTATTTTGATATGATAAAATCTTATAGTATATTGTCAATTTTATAAAATCAATAGCAATTAAAAATACTACATTTTGTACACTAAAAATGCATATAGTTTGATTAATTGTTGGTCAAAACTCAGGAAGTTAAACTTTGTTCAATCAAAGACGCTGTATAAAATGAGAAGAGTGAGTATTTTTTTATTATCTGTTGGGTTTGCAATGTCTGCCTTACCGAATGACTATTTTTATTGCACTGGCATCATAAAAAGGCCAAGAGGATTCTTCAAGCTACTAACAATCTGTAATTAGCCCCAAGGAATGGAACCTGCAGAGATTATACTTTGCCTATTGTCAAGCTAGGGAGAGGCAAAATGTCACGTCATAAACAAAAAAAAATGATCATTTTCTGATTGCCACTAGAAGTTTGTCGTGCACAGTTCCTTTGGAAAATTAAGCCATGAATCGCCACAATAGTTCAGAAAGCAGACAGCTGCTGGGCTGTAGGTTCGGAGGAAGCAACCAGACGCTGACCTGGTAGACGTAGGGCGACCCATCGGCTTCAGCGATTGAGCGGTAGATGGCGCGGCGCTGGTGGAGGACGAAGCCGCCCATGGAGACGGAGCCCAGGGCGAACCCGAGGAGGCGCTCCTGCGCGCAGATCCGGAGGCCAAGCCACGAGGAAACAACCGAATCAGCCACAACAATCAAGCACGACCTCGTCGATTTCTCGAGTGGTTGGAGGGCCTAAGGTGGGTTACCTGCGCGAGGATGCTGATCATGGCGGTGATGGTGGTGGCCGCCGGCAGGACGCGAGATTGGCGGCGGCAGGCTTTCTTTCCCTTGTCCTCCTCGTCTACGGTTTCCACGGCGCTGGCCGCTGGGCAATATGCCGCCGGTGACGTGGTTGGTATACTTGGTAGGCTCCGAGAATGATGCTCATGGGCCACTGTGGTGGGTTTGTGGGCTGGGCTGAAGTGAAATGGAGCTCTGGTAGAGGTGGCCCAGCTCCTCATCTGGTTAATGCTTACAAGAACCTCGATGTGTAATGTAATGATCTTTTACTCAGAATGCCTTTGTAATGAATGCAATGTGGTCTCTTCGTTCCAAATTAAAGTGCACTGCAGTTTGTTCTAAATTAAATTTTTTTAAATTTGAATATATTTATACAAATATACATCAATATATACAACATTGAATTACTTTCATTAAATTTTATATGAAATATATTTTAATAGTACATTTATTTAAACTTAAAAATATAATATATATTTTTTAGAAAATACGGTCAAAGTTAATAAGGTTTGACTTAGAATAGATCAAAGTAGACTCTAATTTAAAGCTGAGGGAGTATCTAATTCTACGGATAAATAAAATAGAGTAAAATGTATGTCAGGTCCTTAAACTTTTGAGGTATTCCCATTTGAGTCCTCGAACTAAAAAAAACTTTCATCTAGGTCTCTGATCTACAGCCTGTTCGTTGGAAGGAATTTTGAGAAATCGAATGAATCTGGAGAAATTTATAAGAGAGTAAACAATGTTTTTTTCGTTCGTATACAGTAAAATCCGACTGGTATTTCAAGCAGCCGAACGAGCCCCTAGTGTTGTCGTGCACCAAAGGTCTAAAATCTGCCACACCATCTGACGTGGACTTGCCACAGTGGCAGCTCGACACTGTAGCAGCGCGCGAGCCGGTGAGCGCGGGCGGTCCGCCGCCGCCGCTGTGGGCGCGCGGGCAAGCTGCGGGCGCGCGAGCATGTGAGCGCGGGCGGACCGCCGCCGCCGCGGCACGCGGGCGCAGGTGGGCACGCGTGCGAGCCGCCGCCACGCGGGCGAGCAGGCGCTGCCAGCCGCGGGACCCGTCGCTGGACGCGGCTCGAGGCGCTGTTCGCGCACGTGTGGAAGCTGCTCGACGCGCACTGCCGCATGGACGCGGCTTGCCGACGCCGTGCTCAATTCGGCGAGCGCTGCGCGGCTCGGGTTCGTGTTTGCCTACTGACATGTGGTACTCGTCCGGGTGCACGTCATTGTCGAATCGAAACCAAGCACAGAATCCACAAACCAGTGAGAACCAGAAAGATGATCGAGAAGCGACAAGGTCAGAAATGAAATGGGCTGTTGCCGATGAGCAGAGTAGACGAGAAGAAAGAGAGCAGAGCAGACCGGCGAGGGAGCTGCCTTGCGTGCGGAAGAGCTCGACGCGCAAGGCGGCGGCCTTGTCGCTTGTCAACCGAGACGCCGAGCATGGCCTGGGGGAACTCGTCGATGTTGTGCTTGTGGGCCGGGCCGATACCGGTGTTCTCTCGGGTACAGGGTGTCGTCGAGGTTTGGACGGAGCGCTCGGGCCACAATAAAATCATCGACAGCAGCAATCGCCCTGGAGTCCGTCCTGGACTGCGAGCTAGTGATCGACGCTTACCTAGGAGGACGCAGTCGAAGGGGGAGTTTGCGGCTATGGAGGGCGGCTCGGGTTCGGCGCGCCTGATCCGGCAGTCGTGATGCAGCTGGGAGTGCCTCGCGCTCATGTCCGGCTCCGTCGCGGCGTCCGTCGAGCACGCGTGCGCTGCACCTGCTCTACCCCGGACGTGGCGCGGGAACAAATCCGGCAGCAGGACGGCGTCAAGGTCCGAGTCCGAGCCGCGGCGGCATGAGCTGCAGGCGTGGGCGAGGAGCTTCATGGTGGACTACGGCGGCGGAAATGGCGCGCGTGGCCGATTCCGGCCGAGAGGACTGCCGCGACTGTGTCGAAACGGAGCGCAAGGACGAGGCAGCTCTAGCTGCGAAAGGAATCGGACAGGGGCCGCTTGACAGCGGCGAATTTCACCGGCGGATCGAGCATGTCGGTGGTGGAGCAGAAAAGGGAAATGAGGAGACTGCGGCCCAGTGCGCGGACGTGAACCGCTGGGCGGTGTCACATTGATCTCTAATTTTAAACTCAACGTTTCAACTGGGCCTTCGATCAGCGTTCTAATCGGGGCGTTCAATCCACTATGGCTAAATAGCCCTTATCACACTGCTGCATAATAAATAGAGGTGGAGGTCAGCGGCTCTGGGTATGAGGTTCGTCTGAGCCGATCTCTCCACTGATAAACCCTAATCTGATGTAGAGGGTGCGTAGCTAGTGACGGAAAGCCACTAGCCGCGTCGTCACCGGACTACGTCACCGACACCACTGCACTGCGCCGCCACCGGTCTTCACCGCCGGTCGCCACCACCCACCACCGACATCGTCTTCAACGATCGTCGCTGTCCTCGTGCAGAAACCGACACAATGCTCATGGCAGACGTCTCTGGATCGAAGGCCTACGATGGTCGGTAAACTAGCACTACTCCTCCCTCTATTCTCTGTCTAGTTCATGTACTAGGACATGCTATTCATTTATAAGATATACCCGGCTAGATCTATGACCATGTGTTTAGAATAGATCAAGAATGGTATCGGAGCCGGGTTGCCAGTGTAGATTTAGTATGGGGTAGAGAATTAAAAAGAAAGAGATCAGATCCGTCTGGATCTGAGAAGAGAAGAGGGTCACCTAACCCTAATCGGGTGAAGAAACGAGTAAAACAGAGGGCTCAGGTTTTAGAAAAGAACTCGAATCCGAACCCAAACCCATGAAGAACAGCACGGAGAAGATAAACAGTGTAACCCTAACCCGAAACCTAATCAAACCCTAACCCTAATCCCCAAATCGGACAAATCCGAGAAGAAAAGAAAGAAAAATCAAAATAGATGAAGAAAAGAAGAAAGGGGAAAAGGGGAAGGGGCCTACCTCGCCGTTCACCGCGCTGCCGCCTCGCCGGTGCGCGAGAAGACGGGCGAGCTTTGCGAGCTCCGGCAACGGGCACCGTCGCTAGTCCGCTCGACGGCGGCGCGCTCACCCGCGTGGGGAGCACGCGCGCCGGCGAAGGGGCCGACGACGGTGCCATGCTTCACTGCGTCCGCTTGGTCGCCGCTCGCTGTTGCTGCGCTGAGGAAGGAGAGCGGCGAAGAGAGAGGAAGGGAGGCAGCGAATGAGTTAGGGTTTCGGGGCAGGGCGCCGCGTCGCCGTTTTTGATCGGCCGAACTCACCGCGCAGCCGTCGGATCGGAACGGATGGCGTCGGTTGATCGAGCCGACTTGCGGCCCAGGCGGGCGAGCGCGCCGCACGGCTTTTGCCGGCCCAGGCCCACGTTGCGGCCTGGGTGCGGGCAGCGCGCGCGTAGAGGAGTGGGCCAAGCTGGTTTTTGTTGCTGGGCCAAGGAACAGTGCTGAAATTGAGTCAATTTTTATATTTTTATTTTTCAGTAAAAGTTTATTTCCTGAAAAATGGATAAATGGCTTAAAGAAAATAAGAAAAGTGATTTTTTCCTGTAGGTAAAATTCACTAAATTGAGATTATTTTTTCCGCTGCGTATTTAAAGTTGTTATTTTCATTATTAAATTCGAACCAACGGGAGAATTTAATTTTGAAAAATAGATATATTTTTAGTTTATTATAATATTGTTATTATTCTAGCCAACGTTGAGTAATGACAATATTATGATGTTATTTATGAGTTTTATCATGCATTAATTCTATTTCTGCCCAACGGTGATGTAGAATTAGTGTAGAGGACAATTGTATGTTTTAATTTTGACCAACGTTGAAACTAAGGCATGTAATTGTTATTATTATGTTTATGTTCTCACTCTATATGAATTGTGTTTTCAGGCGGATACAACTTTATGGGTTGTATCAAAGAGATCCCAACTCTCAAAGGTGACAACTACATAGAGTGGAAGAAAAAGATTGACCTGGTCTTCATCTTGGCTGAGGTGGACTGGGTAGTCACCTCACTATGTCCCACTGAGCCTGTGGCACCGGTGAAGGAGACAAATGAGGCTGATACCGCTTGGGCAACTAGAGAGAGGGATTTTATATCTCAAAAGATGTTCTATGACCTTGAGCATAGAAAGTGGGTCACTGTCAACAAGAAATGTATGGTTGTGATAAAGAACACGATTGAGCCTGCAATTGTGGGCTCAATCCCAGAGTGTGACACCATCATCGAGTACCTCGATAGAATAAAGAGTCAGTTCACTGGCTCTTCAAAGATATGTTATCTAGCTGATAAAGCAGTTGGTGACAGAGAGGTGCTCTGGAAATGGTGGCATAAGAGAGCACATACTAAGGATGAGCAATTTGGCATCCAAGCTAAAACCAATGGATCTGGCTCTCAAGGAAGAGTTCCTTATCCATCTGATTTTTACTTCCTTGCTAAAGGAATTTAACACTTTTGTTGTCAACTACAACATACAGGCCGAGAAGTGGGACTTAGAGAGGCTCATGGCTATGTATGTGCAAGAGGAGGAGAGAATGAAAGCTGCCAATGGTGGCACTATCAATTATGTGAAAGACAATAAGAAAAAGAATAATAATGCTAACTCCTCAAAGTCAAAGGGAAATGGTCCCATGCTGCATCAGCCTCAGCAGAACAAGTTCACAGTAGAGAAAGACCAGTGTCTCTATTGTAAGAAGACAGGACATTATAAGAAAGATTGTCCCGATTACTTAAAGATGATCATGGCAACAAAAGTTGAGAACATTATTACGCTCATAAATGAATCCCTGTATGTACAGTATTTGAAATCTACTTGGTGGATTGACTCAGGTGCAACTGTTCATATTGCCAATTCTTTACAGGGATTCCGTTCGACGAGGACTACGCAAAGAAGAGAAAGACACGTTAAAGTTGTGAATGGAGTCCGAGCAGATGTTGAAGCCGTTGGCGATCTTTCTCTAGAGCTTGCTGATGGCTTCAC